TAACTTACTAGGTGTGTGTGTGTGTGTGTGTGTGTGTGTGTGTGTGTGTGTGTGTGTGTGTGTGTGTGTTTATATATAAACTGACATGCCACTTGTTTTAAAATAATATATTCAAAACAAGTTAGATGTATGTACAAAAATTCTTTACACTATGGAAATCACAGTTGTATCTTAAACATTATAAAGTTCTCTTCTTCTTGTCAAAAGTCCACTTAGGGTAATTCAGTTGCTTTAGAATCCAACTGACAAGCTGAACTATTTTTCTCTACTTTTATCACAATAGTATCAGTGAATAATTCATTTATGCTGCCTTGAGTTACCACAGTTGTATCCACATAGGTGGGTTAAATTAGTTTAGAACACCCTTTGACAAGACAAATTATTCTCTTTATATCTTTCAAACTGTTAATCTCACTTTAAAATATCAACCATTAAGGTTATTTACTCCCATGATGGCTAACTTCAAGTTTTCTAACTTTTCTCTGACTGAACTTCTCTTTCTCTTGACTTTACTTTTACCTGCTCCCACTCGTTTGGTCACCGTTATTTATCACTGAGTCCTCTAGAATTTTCTATAGCCTCAACACCAATGAATTGCAAACACAACGTATGACTCTTACAGAGTTACATAACCAAACTTGTCATAACTATCACATTTAAACTAATTAACTTTTACCTCTCTTATTATGAAAAAACTAAACAATCATGAAATATAAACTTACAAAATAATAAATAAATTAATAATACCTACACTAAACAGTCTTGTATGTCCAACAATAAGCCCCTCTTCAATAAAAATATTTACAATATTTTTCACACAATATACAAAGACTGTTCTTAGTTCAGATAATAAGTCTTCTCATATTGTCTACACCAACATTTACAGTTCCTTTGTCTGTCTCTCTTAGCTTGGGTCCCCCAATAAGGCTTCTCCTTGACAGGATCCCTTGTCTTCATGTCGATCTTGTGTTGGCTGGGGTCTGTCTTTCCTGACCTATTTGCATATTGGCACTGCAGACCTTGTTCCTCTTTCTTCTTCTTGCCAGTCAGTTCTCCACTTATGTTGACATCCTTATATGTCTCATCTCCACTTACTGGTCTTAAACGTAGTAGGACTTTATCTTCTATAACAAAGTCATTGTCTTCAGGTTCTACTTCTATGACAGCCACACCTGCCATGTCCATCTGTACATCAATAGCTGCACCCATAAGGTCTTCTTCCCTCTTGAAGTACCTCTTCAACAGATTGGCATGGTAGACCATGATTGTTCCATCAACTTTCACTTTATGGTACCTTCTGTTGATCACTTCCTGTACAGTGAAAGGTCCTTTCCACTGCCAGGTGAATTTACTGTTGTCTGTAGGTAGCAGAACTAAAACCTTCTGTTCAACCTTGAAATACTGACCCTTGGCCTTCTTGTTTAAAAATTGTTTCTGACTGTCTTTGGGTTTGGTCTCCCCAGTAAAACTGCTTTGATAAGTCTGGTTCAATACTCCTTTCCAGTCCTCTGTTTCATAAGTCTCTTTCCTCTTTGTCTTGTGCTTGACTTTCTCTTGGGCAGTGTCCCAAAGTTTCTGCAGAGAAAAGTCTTTCTTCTGCACTTCCTTCAGCTCCCATGAATCTACATTCAGGTGTCACTAATTAAGACTTTAAGAGACTTGATATCTTGCTTGCTCCTTTTTCTTTGAGCTCTTCTGATGACTACAGTTGGCTTCAGCAGTCTTCATTTTTTATCTAGTTCCTCCAAATTCTTTCTACCAGGTATGTTTCGTATCACGAAGTTGTATATTGGTTCCTTGATACACATGGCTTCGAGGTCTCCTACACAATATAGAGTATCCACCTTTATTTTTGTTATGGGAAACTTTCTCACTGTTCCATCAATTAGTACACACAGGCATATCTTGCATGTCATCTGATCATCAGATACTAGACTGGTTCTCCCTGCTGCACTACTGCACCCAGTGTGTCGTAGAACCTTCACTTTCTTGTCCCCGACATAACCTTCACATATTGGCATGTTATGATCTGTTGGCACCTCTTGATATTTTTAACATGCTTTAATCACTACTGGTACTATTGCTCCATTAGCGAACTTGAGCAGACCATTAGCTGTGCACTGATTAATCATGGAAATGGCACTTCCTTCTTGTGGTGAATCTGACGTGTTATCTTGATTCTGTTTTTTCTGGCAGCAGCATCCAGTCACTCTTTTCATGTTTCTTACTAGCACTATGTTTGTAAATAGCTATGACTGCCTTATGTTGAGATTTCTGCTGTTGCTTGCTGGTTATGGACTTGCACTCATTTGCAATGTGTTCCATTTTATAAAAAACATAGCATCTCTTCTCTTTTCTGTCTATTAACCTTGTCCCACCTTTGGTATCCTTTTGTTTCTTATCAGTCATCACTGGTTTCGAATTTAACTGGATATATTTGGACTTGCCAGTTTTACATACATACTCTCTCCATGAACTTCCATATACCATTCTACCAGCTTTATCATCTCGTCTATGTCTTTTGGCACTTTCTCCTTCAGGAACAGTGACATCTCAGTTGAACTCGTGATCATGAACTGTTCACGTACTAATAGGTCTGCCAGTCCCTCAAAACTAATGTCACATTTGGCCATGTCAGTCCATTTGGTGAAGTATTGCTGTAGATGTGCCACAAGCTGAAATACAGTTTTTCAAGTGTCAGGTTTGACTTCTCTGAGCTTCCAGCAAAAATCTTCTTTGGTAAGTTCACATCATTTCAGGAAAGCCACTTTTAATTTTTCATAGTCCGTGGCATCTTCTGACACCAGGCCTACATACACTCTTTTCTCCCTAGTACTTGTTGTTGTTTAACAAACTCTCTTGGTTCGTCATCTTTTAACCTGTGACGCTCTCCCCTTTCTATCCATTTATCAAAATTTGACATGGTTTTATAGCGTGATTGTAATCTCCACACTATTTGCATTACAACTCCATTTGTGCATATATAGGCCTACTTATTCTCTAACTTGTATATTACATGTGTGTGCGTGCACATGTGGGTGTTAAGGATTCTTCTACAGTAGGTGTCTATGACTTGTTGGCAATAAATTTAAACAATAAATGAACAGCACAAACTCCACTTGTTTTAAAATAATATATTCAAAACAAGATAAATGTATGTAAAAACTTATTTACACTATGGAGATCACAGTTTTATCTTAAACACTATACATTTTTCTTCTTCTTGAAATATAATCAAGTAACACCAACTGTTAACACAACTCCCAAACCTTTTGTAGACACAGATCATTCCTGCACTGAGGTAATATCAAGAATTAAAGTTCTTACACCACATCTGGATACTACCAATAAACTTTCAAAATACAATAAAACAATTATGAAATTGCAACTCTCATAGCTTTAATATTTTTCCTCCAACAGAAAATAAAAAAAATTTACCATTCACTTTAAGCACCAAACAGAATGTTAAATATGCGTAAACATATAATAAATGTTCTTGAAGGGTTCACCTGCTGTTACAGTGAACACAGAGACTGGCAGGCAGTCCAAGTGGTATGTGCAGTAACACAAACACACAATAAATCAGGTAAGTGCATGAAATATTAATGTGATCAGAAGATAACAAGTATACATTATGACACTTATAAAACCAATTGTGAATGAATGTGTAACACTTATTATGTTACATTAAGAAAAACAAGAACATGACAAATGTTTACATGACCATTATAACATGTATGCACGTATTCCTTTTCAAGTTATTGTTTAAAAATGATTTCCAATGTCTCCTGAAATTAATTACAAAAGATAATTTGTGTTAATTTCTGTAATGTTAAATATTATTCTGTGAGGGTTAACACTCCCTGACAAATAAGTTTAATCTGGTCTACCAACCCACACAAGCAAGTTCCAAAATGAAGGTTGGACTCTGGGGGAAAAAAATTGTAAAAATTTATTTTATTTACAAAAGAACTTGCAACACTTACCAGACTACTGCCATGATAAGCGAGTGTCTTCGTAAATGTGGAGTTCGAAACAAGTCTAAAGCTGTAAGATGGGCTTCATTCATATCAGCACCACCACCATCCTTTTCTGCCTGTAAAATGTGAAAAACAAGAAAAAACTAATGATAAACAACAACAATTAAATTATAATCCATATTATGAGAGCTGTTAACTAAAAAAAGTCATTACAACATTCTACGAAAATTTATTTGAAAAAAGATATCAATAACACCTACAGCACACTTCTTAGGATGCACTTTAATGGTCTTCTCTTGATAGTCTAATACTGAAGAATTAAGAAATCATATTTGATAAAATGTAAACATCTGGGTGCAACTGATCATTTCTCTATTAGGTTTAATGTTTTGCCACATATGGAGATCAGAAATAATGATGTTTTGATTACAATTTTCAAAAAAGCAAATTTTGAAAAGATGTGACAAAAATTATCTGTTGAGAATGGGGCAGCCGAGTTATATGGAGACTTTGTTTGGTTTTTAAATTTCACACAAAGCTACAGGAGGGCTATCTGCACTAGCCATCCCTAATTCAGCAGTGAAAGACTAGAGGGAAGACAGCTAGTCATCACCACCCACCACCAACTCTTGGGCTACTTTTTTAACAACAAATAGTGGGATTGACCGTTACATTATAAAACCCCCATGGCTGAAAGGGCGAGCATGTTTGATATGATGGGGGATTTGAACATGTCGCCTACAGATAACGAGTTCAGCGCCCTAACCACCAGGCCATGCCAGACCTATTTGGAGACACTGATCAAATGTGGAAAATTTTTAAATATTTAACATAAACATATTCCTTATAGAAAAAAAGGGTGGCTGTAAATAAAAAAAAACAGGTTGGCTCACAAAAGTTACAAGAGATAAAATTAAAGAAAAGCATTACAAATTTAAGGAATTTAAATTGACTGGTATGACAGGAGATTTAGAAGATTACAGAAGATCAAGAAAGTTGGTCAAACACGAAATTAAGACATAAAAAAGATATATGAAAAAGGTTGGCTCAAAATGAAAAAATTAACAGTAAGGATTTATTTAAGTACATGAAGGGATGATAAAGGCTTGTATCTGATTGTTATGAGATTGCGGAGTTATTAACTTCTGTTTTTTCTTCAGTTTTTAGCAATGGAGATTTGAGCAACATTCCTCATCTTGAACAGTTGATAGATCACAAAAATGTCAGAAAATATGATTGCATTAATTCTGAACTTGTCTAGAAAAATTAGGAAGTTTAAAAATTGACATACAAGGGTTTTGAAGGAAGTTAATGGCACATGCGGAGTACATCAGGGCTCAGTCTTAGAACCTCTGCTCTTTTTGATTTACATAAATGGCACATGAGAAAGAATGGTCAATAAATTACTTAAATTTGCTGATTATATTCAAGTCTTAATGCATGTGGATTATGATTTAAGTTATAAGTATAATTTGGATGAGAATAATCTTAAGAGTGTCATGAAAGAAAGGAATCTTGGTGTAATCGTTGATCACTCTCTTATGTCATCCCAGAAGTGTACTGTTGCTAGTGGGAAGGCAAATAGGATTTTAGATTGTATCTACAGAAATACTGAATAAAAGTCAAAAGAGGTTATAATTTCATTGTATAGGTCACTAGTTAGACCACACTTGGAGTATTGATTTAAAAATGATTTCCAATGTTTCCTGTAATATGTTCAACACATAAAAAAAGTTGTGGCCAAATATGATTTTAATTACAAAAGACAATTTATGTTAATTTCTGTAACGTTAAATATTCTTCTGTGAGGGTTAAGACACAAAACAATCACTGACAAATAAAAATTTCATTTGAAAATGATAATTAAAAACACCTACGGTACACCCCTTAAGGTGCACTTTTATGATCTTCTCTTGATAGTCTAATACTGAATAATTGTGGTTGTTTGGAGTTAAGCCCTAAGCTACACAATGGGCTATCTGTGCTCTGCCCACCATGGGTATCAAAACCCGGTTTCTAGCATGCAAGTCCGCAGACATACCGCTGTGCCACTGGGGGGCTACTGAATAATTAATAAAATAAATTTGATAATGTAAACATTTTGAAACAAAATTCTTATTTATTCAAGATTTATATCTTAAATGTGTATTAAAAGACTATTTCAAGGAAAACAGAAACCATTTCAATAATTTCTTGCATTTAAAGAGTAAACTTACAACTTCTTTCTCATTAAAAGTTTAGATGTAAGTGAGGTTTGAGAACTTGCCTCTAAATCTGTTAAAATATCATCAGGAAACTGATTGCCATTCACTCTTGCAACAGTCTTTAACATAAGAAGAGCTTCCTTTTTCCTTCCCCGAGTCATTAACCAACTTGCAGATTCAGGGATCCACCTAAAAATTAAAATCTCAGTTCTATCTATTTTTTATATCAAGTATTACATATTCACATCTGCAATTCATTGTCTGTTATTGTGCAATTCAATTGATGTGAAATATATATATATATATATATATATATATATATACACACACACACACACACACATACACATATACATACAATTAAATGTAATATTACGTAGGAAGGGAAAAAAAAATTAAAAAAGAAACAGCGCAGCTACAAAACAAACATGTACAACCTGGGCACACACCATAAGGTGGGTAGTTATGCAATGTGCCCTGGTTTTTGAGGCCCTGGCAGAAGTAAGACCCAAGTTGTGTTGGGGGTACACCATCTACCCAGTTTAACCTCAGTTTCGCAGGCCTCACATTTTTAATAATAAAAATTAAAAAAAAGCAGATATGGCTGCTCTAGCCCACAACGTCCCACATCTTTACCACCTTTTGCCATCTGCAGCCAAATGTAGAAAGGTGGCTGCACAAAAAAAAGAAAAAAAGAAGTAATTGGAATACAAACATCAATGAGGGAGACAGTAAAACTGTCCTTCAAGTTGGCATTCCAGCCCCATAATGATGTTTAGACATAAATACCACAATGTTAAGGTATTACTATACAAGCCCAACCTAAATTGTTAGTATAGCTTCCATCCTCCACCCATCCATGCTACTGTCAAGATCATAAAATGTTCTATACAAATTACATAGTAGCAGGTCTTAAA